CGCCTGTTTATTTTGAGACCCTTCCTGCATTGTTGTGGAAAAAAGCAGAGCGGATGGAGAAGAGCCCATGAAGTTACATTTCTGCGGTGAAGCCAGCAGAATCTGTGGACGTTGGTGTTTTTCAAAAGCCATGTTTGCATGAAGCTTGTACACAGAGGAGGTGTTCGGTTACAGATACCCCGAGCATCTCCGGAGGTGGCCAGTTTCAGTCTGCAGGTCACAGAAGGAAAAAGTAACTCATCTGGCTATGAATGTCATCTTGAAAAACGATGTGTGAGCAAACAGCCTCCACCATCCGTGTTTTTTTTCTCATTTGGGCTCAGTAGAGATGTCTGTGAGCTGACTTAGAGACTTAGGGGTCATGTCTAACGCAGGCCTTGTCCAGAGCTGGAGTTCTCAGTATTGTCTTAATGTAATTCATACTATCTTTTATCTTTTGCTACAAAGCCTGATAGTTCCTGGTAGCAATTCCATCTTCCTTCCTCGAGGGCTGTGTTGTTCTCCTGGGAGCTTTCCTCCCAGAATTCCTTTGAGATCACCAGGAAAGCAGAAGAGAACCACATAACCCTTAATGAAGACTTGTGCTTGAAGGAGTCCTGGCATAAAGAAAATAGAAAACATCCTAATTACCAACAACAAAAATCTTCTGACAATGAAAACGCCCACATGAGCAACACTTTACTTAGTAAATGTTTTTTGAGAAAACATGGTGCTTGCTTTCTAAAAAGAAATACTTTTAAGTTTTATTTACTTAGTTTTATTTATGTATTTATTTATTTTAGCTGAGCCATCCTGCCACCTGTTGGCAGCTCAGCGGCAGCTCTGCTCGGGCCGGGAATCTAACTGGCAACCCTGTTGCTCAGAGCTCGCACTCTTGAGCAAGCTCTTAACCAACTGAGCCACTCGGCCGGCCCCCAAGTTTTATTTTAAAACTTATCATCAACAAAATTGACTTATTTTCTGTTGATAGACAGTTCTATGAATATGTAGATTTGTGTCATCACCGCCATCCTCAGGATGTAGAATAATTCCGTCACCCCAAGTAACCCCTTCCTTCACCCCAGTTCCTGGCATCTTCTCATCTGTTCTCTGTCCCTACAGTTCTGTCTTTTCAAGAATGTCATTAAAGTACATTAGCATGTCACACAGGAGGTGACCTTTTGAAACTGACTTTTTCCACTCAGCATAATGCCTTTGAGATTCATCCAACGTCTCATAAATGTCAATAGTTTGTTCCTTTTTATTGGTAAATAGTATTTCATTGTACGGACAGACCAGTTTATCATCCATTTACTGGTTGAGGAGCCTTTGGGTTGCTTCCCATGCTTGACAATTAAGAACAGAGCTGTTATAAGCATTTGTTTTTATTTGAACCTAGTGTTCATTTCTCTGGGGTGGATACTCAGGGGTAAAATTGCTGAGACATACACTAACCGTGTGTTTAACTTTGTAAGTAATTGTCAAGCTGTTTTCCAAGCTGTACCTTTTTGTATTTCCATCAGCAAAGAAGAAGCGTGCTTTCTAGTCTCGCCATCCTTGTGAGCACTTGGCATCGTCAGTGTTTTTATCTTTAGCTTATTCTAATGGATTTGTAGGGGTATCTCATCATGGTTTTAATTTGCTTGTTTTGCATCCTGTATGCCCTTTGAAGAAGGGCCTATTTTTGTATCTCTTGCCCATTTTTTATTGGTTTGGGTTTTTTTTTCTTATTGTTGAGCTTTGGGAATTCTTTATTATGCATACAAGTCTTATAGGAGATTTGCAAGTATTATGTCCTAGTTTGCAGCTTATCTTTTTATTCTCTACATAGTTTCTTTCGTAGAGCAAAAGTTTTTAATTCTGATGAAGTTAAGTTTATTTTTTTAATAGACTGTGTTTTTTGTCATGGGTTTTTTCCTAAAAGTTTTATAGTTTTACATTTTATATTTAGATCTATGATCCATTTTGAGTTGGTTTTTGTGTAAGATATGACATTTAGGTCAAAGTTTGATTTTTTTGCCTCTGGCTATCTAATTGTTCCAGCCATTTGTTGTAAAGCCTATCCTTTCTCCACTGAATTGCTTTTGCAGCTTTGTCAAAACTCAAGTGGCCATATGTGTGTGGGTCTATTTCTAGATTCTCTATTCTGTCCCATCCAGCTATGGGTTTATCCCTTTGCTAATACCATCCAGCCTTGATTACTGTAACTTTATAGTAAGTCTTAAAATTGGGTAGTTTGAGTCCTCCAATTTATTCTTCTTTTTCAGATTTGCTTTAGCTATTCTAGTTCCTTTGCCTCTCCATATACATTTTAGAACCAGATTGTCTATGTGTACAAGAAATCTGCATGAGAGTTCGGGTGGTATTATATGGAATCTATAGATCAAGTTGGGGATAACTAACATTTTCATTATGTTGTATTTTCTTACCCATGAACATAGTATATCTCTCCAATTATTTAGATCTTTGATTTCTTTCATCAGAGTTTTGAAGGTTTTACATACAGTTCCTATACATGCTTTGTTAGATTTACTTTATAGTATTTTAAAATTTATTTTAAAATAAGTATTTTCTTTTTGGAAACTATTGTAAATGTTACTAATTTTTATATTTCAGCTTTTAGTTGAACATTGCTATTTGTATTAGTTTCCTATGGCTGCTGTACCAACTTACCACAAATTTGGTGGCTTAAAACAATAGAAATGGATTCTCTCACAGTTCTGGAGGCCAGAAGTCTATCATCAATTCTGAGCTGAAATCACGGTGTGGCAGGGCCATGTTCCCTCCAGAGGCTCTACGGGAGAATCTGTTCTTTGCCTCTCCCAGCTTCTAGCGACTGCCAGCATCTGTTGGCTTGTGGCTACATCACTCCAATCTCTACCTCTGTCTTCATATTTCTACTTTGTGTCAAATCGTCCTCTGCCTCTCTTATAAAGATACTTGTGATGGCATCATTTAGGGCGCTTCTGTATAACCCAGGACAAGCCTCTCATCCCCAAATCCTTAATCACATTTCCAAAACCTTTACCGTAGAAGGTAGCATTCACAGGTCCCAGTAATTAGGACTGATTATCTTTGAGGACATTTTTCAGCCTACTACATTAGTGTTTAGAAATCAAGTGTGTGTGTGTGTGTGTGTGTGTGTGTGTGTGTGTGTGATTTTGTGTGTGATTTTGTGTGTTAATCTTGTATCTTGCAGTCTTAGTGATAAACTTATTTACTAATTCTAAGTTTTTTGATAGATTATTTGGGATTTTCTACATACATTATGTCATCTGCAAATGCGGACATTTTCTTTCCAATCTGTATGACTTATTTCTTTTTTGCCTTATTACACTGACTAAGACTTCCAATACAGTGTTGAATAGGAGTCGTGAAAGTGGTCATCTTGCCTTGAGCCTAATGTTAGGAGGAAAGCATTCAGTCATTCATTATTAAGTATGATGTTAGTTTCTAATCTTTGCTGAGAAGTGTTTTTTTTAAGTTATGAATGAATATTGAATTTTGTCCTATGATTTTCTGCATCCATTGATCTAATCATATATTTTTCCTTCTTTAGATTATTAATAAAATAGATTACATTCATTGATTTCCGGATATTGAACCAGCCTTGCATTACTGGGACAAATCCTACTTCGTTGTCATGTACAATTATTTATATACATTGCTGGTTTTGATTTGGAATATTTTTTTGAGGATTTTTATGTTTATCTTCATTAGAGGTATTGTTCTGTAGTTACCTTTTCTTATATGGCCTTTGTTTTTGGTATCAGGGTAATTCTGGCCTCATTAAAAAAATTGGGATGTTTTCCCTCTTCTGTTTTCTGGAAGGCATTGTGAAGATTTGGTGTTATATCTTCTTTATATGTTTCATAGAATTTGCCAGTGAAACCATCTGGGCCTGATGATATTATTTTTCAGAAAATTGTAAACTATGAATTTAATTTCTTTCATAGGTATATGATTATCGAGGTTACCTGTGTCATTTTGGGTGAATTTTGGTAGTTTGTAGTTTTTGAGGAATTGGTCCATTTATGTAAGTTGTCAAATGTTTTACCTCCATAGCGTTGTTTGTAATATCCTGTTGTTATTCTTGTGATAACTGCAGTATCAATAGCCATTTCCCCTTTTTATTTTCTGGTGATTTGTGCCTTCCTCTTTTTTTCCTTGCCACACTTACTAGAGATTTATCAATTTTGTGGAACTTTTCAAAGAACCGGATTTTGGTTTTATTGCTTTTCTCTATTTTTTTTCTATTTCCAATTTCATTGATTTATTATCTTTATTATTTCCTTCTCTTTGCTTGCTTTAGGCTTATTTTGCTTTCTTTTTGTCTAGTTTCTTAAGGTGAAAGCTCAAATTATTTGAAACCTATCTAATATAAACATTTAATGCTATAAATATCCTTATAGGCACTGTTTTAGCTACATTCGACACATTTTGAAATGTATTTTCATGTTAGTTAAAAATATTTTCCAATGTCCCTTGAGACTTACTCTGTGATCCATTGATTATTTGTGTGTGGTTTAATTTCCAAGTGTTTTGAGATTTTCCTATTATATTTTTGATATTGACTTCTAGTTTAATTCAGTTGTGACCAGAAACATACTTTGCATAGTTTGTTCAAAGAAGCTTCAGTTCTTTATGTTAGTTAAGGTTTGTTTTGGGACTCATGATAGGTTCTATCCTGGGAGTGCGTGGTTGTTTGGATACTGGGTTTTCTTTGAAGGGGCCATAGCTCTAAACTGAGCCTATTTGTTTATTCACTCAAGGCTTGCTGAGAGCGGCCAGTTAGCTCAGGTGGTTAGAGCACACTGCTCACAACACCAAGGTTGCCGGTTCGATCCCCACATGGGCCGCTGAGCTGCGCCCTCCACAACTAGATTGAAACGACTACTTGACTTGGAGCTGATGGGTCCTGGAAAAACACACTGTTCCCCAATAAAAAAAATTTTTTTTTAAATAAAATAAAAAGACTTGCTGGAAGGTTGTCACTTACAGCCGTTCTTTCCTTTTTCTAGAACATCCAGGATGTGAGGAGCGATGATGAAGACGAGTATGAAGAGGAAGAGGATGAGGAAGAGGAGAAGGAAGAGGCCTCCACAGGCAAAGAGAAAGACGGTTTGAAGAACGGCCTCGGGGCTGACCGGCGCCTCATTCCCAACGGGCAGCATGGCCGTTAGCGTGAAGCCCCCGTCGTTCCTGGGCCACGTGTGTGGCAAAGACTGCCGGAAGCCAGAGGTGCCCTGTGCATCACTGTGGCCCACAGGACTCACGGGGACCTCAGATTCTGCCCTTGCTCTGCTCTTCCCCCCTCAAGATGTATTTAACAAAATGTTGTTGAATTGTGTTCAAATGTTAAATATAAACATTCCCATGGATTCCACTGCAGTTAGGACTCAGGCCGGTCAGAGATTTCAAAGCTTTCTCCAGAGAACCGTTTCAGTTCTAATTGTGTTCATTCATCGGAGACATTTGGCTTTTTCGGGAGCTCACGGTGTTGTAGGCCTTTCACCTTCCCACCCTGCCCATCCTCAAGATAGTTTGAGACGTGCTGAGTTAACCCACTCATTCCAGGTGTGTTTGGCCACAGAGAACAGCTCACTTGCCAAGAATGAATTCGAGGTGGCAATGGGACAGTGGCAGCAGGACCAAACCAGGAGACCAGGCCTCCAGGCTCACGGGCCGCTTTCTGCCCTGGGCAGTTTTGCTTAGACCTTGCAAGCCTTGGTGCTTCATCTCTCAGTTGGGAATAATACCTGCCCTGCCTGCCCAATGGGGTTGGAGTAAGGATCAAATGAGATAGTACAAGTGAAAGTGCCATATTGTCAACTGTAGGGTTATTGCCACCTGACCCTCTTTTCACTGTGATTCCAGCTCTGTTTGGGAGAAAGAAACCTTCCTAAACTTGGCACTGAATGGGCCTGAACAAAAGACACTATCTTTAAAAAATTCATTTTAAATGTGTCTGGAGATACCTAGACATGAAAACCCCCAGAAGGCTGTTTCCATTTTATTCGGTAACTATTTATGTGTTAGCTCCCCGAGGGTAATTCTCAAATTCCCTGGCAATTTTCTTCCCTCAGACCCATGGCCAAGGGGAGGGAGTTGGGGCCCATTTCTTCTTTTCTGTTCTGTTCTCTTATTTTTCTCTTATCTAAAAGGGAAGCATCCCTGTTGCTGCCCTGAACCCCTCCTTCAGGCCGGCAGGGCGACCCAGTACCATAGGGTCCACCTGGAGGCCTTTTGGAGAATGGTCAGGTTGCTCCCAGCGCCATGATCACCCAGGAAACCTGAGCCTCTGGGGGCCTGACGTGGGTGCGAGCTCCTGACCAAAAGGAAACCTTGGAAACAGAAAGAGGATGCTCTGCTTTTTCATCTCTGCTATCCCACCCAGTCAGACTGCATAGAGCAAAACAGGACCAAAGACAGGCTGGAAAATGCCGCTGAAGCTGTCCAAGGTCAGGTGCTGGAGTCAGTGACAGCCCCTGGGGCCACCTGCCTCGCTGGGAGGGGGCTGGTGGGTCAGTAGCAGGCTATCGGCTCCCCACAGGGGGCACATCTGCTGAGCCCAGCATGCGGGGCAGGTCTGGAGTCATCTTAGGTTTCTGCTGCCTGGGGAGAGGCCTGGCTGAGGAGAGAAGGCTGAGCAGAATAGGCAGCCTCCCCTCCCCCACCCCCAGTCTCTGTAGTCCTGGGTCACATTTTGCACCTCCATTTTCACACAGGGCCTGTATTGTAAAGCCAAGTGGGAGCTAGGACTGGGGACCCATAAAGCAGGACCAGGACGGCCCACGGTACACACACAGTAAAGGTGTCGGAATTCTTTGTGTTTTACCCAAAAGATGTTTTTTTTAACCTTCAGGCTAAACCAAAAACCCAAACCAAAAGCCCTTCAGAATTCTTTCCCCAACAAAATCTTCTTTTGAAGAATTGTTAGAATGGAAAAACGTGAGTCAAGTTTTCTCTACCTAGTACTGTTTGCTTCTGTGAGTACAGTGACATATGCATTATATGTAGAATGTTATATTATCAATCTAAAATGCCTCCACTCATGTCGGGGCACAGCTGTTGAATTATTATTAATATTATATATTTTTTTTTTGGTGGAAGAAAAGCACACTTTTTTTTATGTTTACAGTTAGCAGATTATTTTTTCTTTGATTTATTTTGATCTTGTTTCTGTACCACATATCTTCTTGCTTATGGTAAAAAAAATTGTTGATTTGCTGCCCTGTCCTCCAGTTCTTTTTTCTTATTTGAACGTTGAAGGTGAAATATGACAATTTCAACTACCTCTGATACAGGTGGAAGTGTTAACCCAACTCTTAAGAGGTAGATATGCATTTTTGTGACATCCTTTAGGGCTGTTGTGGTTAATTTTAAAGGTAACCTCTCTTTCTATAGTAAACAGGTGATTTGTAAACGTGCAGCCCGCCGCTCCACCACTATTATTGTCATAGTAATGACTTATAATAAAACAAAGACAGGATCCAGCATGCATGGTGACTGGCTTCTTAGAGGTCATTACTGGTCTTGTGTCATAGTGGAAACCAACATTTGCTAGTCCTCTCGAAACTCCGTGCTGGGAGTCAGAACATTGAGGAGGACAGAGCCAAATTAGGACATTCGGGGACATTTGGGCTGCTGGCCTTGAGGTACCAGGCACCAGACAAGAGGAAGTGCATCAGGCCTGACGGGATAAGCCCCTCGGCAGACACCTGCGGGCTGGAGGCCCCCCTGGGTCATGGCATGTGGGCCCCCGTGACAGGAGGCAGGGTCAGGGATAAGAAAGAGGCCTAATCCTAAAGGTGTTTCCTCAGCCACCTTTCCTGCACCCTATCTTTCAAATGTGGAGAAGGAAATAGGGTTTAGATTGATGGTTCAATTGGCTATCCATCAGAATTACCTATGGAGCTTAAAAACACACCCTGCCTATTGCTGGTCCCAAATTCTGGGGTGAGAAACAGAAATCTGCATTGTCACCGAGTGTGGGTGTGTCTGAGGAGCGGTCAGGATTCTGTGTGCCCCAACCTGGCTGTATTCCTACTAGCAGTTTCTTACACTAATAGATGGGGAAATGCCATGTTACAGAATATTTAATCCAAAATAAACCTGTCACTATAGATACAGAAGACATTAAGCAGATAATAAGAGAGTATTATGAGCAACTTTATGTCAATATATTTGATCAAAATGGGCACAAGAAGAAATAGATATCTAAATAGTCTTCTATGTGATACAAAATAAAACTGAAAAATTAAAAATCTTTCCCTCCCCACCACCCCACCAAAAACAAAAAAATCTTTAGGCCCAGATGGCTTTTCCTGTAAATTCTTCCAATAGTTAAGGAAGAATTAACACAACTGTTATGCAAGCTTCTCCAGAGACAAAGAAACACTTCCACAGTTGTTTTGTAAGGCCAGCATACTCTTGATGCTAAAATCTGACAAAACATTAGGGAAAAAAAAAAACCCACAACAATTAAAGGCTAAGTCACTCAGGAATGTAGATGCAAAATCCCTAAACAAAAGCAAACCAAACTCAGCAACATGTAAAGAAAAGAGTGTATGGACAGACAAGGTGGGTTTATTTCAGGAATTGAAATAAATGAAAATCAATATTATTCACTATTTTAAAAGGATAAAGGAAAGAAAGAACGTATCTTCAAAAGCTTTAGATAAAGTTCAACATCCATTCATTGAAAAACCAAAAACATAATCTCACAGAAAAGTAGGAAGGAGCTTCCTTAATCTGGTTAGTAGTATCTTCAAAAAGTATAAAGCTAGCATCATAGAATGCTATCACAGCGAAATAGTGAAAGCTTTTTCCCTGGGACTGTCACTGAGACAGGGATATCCATTATCTGCAAGGGTCCCCATCATCCTGAGTATAGTCAACACTGTAGTTTTCAAACTAGCCAGTGTAATAGATCAAGAAATAGAAATTACAAGGCTCAAAAGGAAGAGATGAAAACTGTTATTGCAAATGTAAATACAAAAAACCCCACACATTGTGTGTGTGTGTGTGTATGTGTGTGTGTGTGTAAATTTATACAGAAATACCAAGAAACAAGATTGGCCGAGGCAATCTTAAAGAGAACAAAATGGTAAAATTCATTCTACTAAATATCAGGACTAATTATAAAGAGCAAAGCAGTGTGAAATTGGCACAAGGATGGACAAATAAAACAATAAAGTGGGATAAAGTCCAGGAACACACTCATGCACCTATGGACAACTGGGGAGCTTTAAGGATAAAAATTAAACTTGACCACTACTTAGCACTATACACAAAATAAATTCCAGATTTTTTTGTACATCGCAATGTGAAAGGTAAAATGTGAAAAATAAGAGGGCATCTCGATGACCTTAAAATAGGCAAAAAGTTCTTAAAATAAAATATAAAATATTACCCATAAAGGAAAATATTAATGAATCAGGTTAAATGATAAGAAAGCACTTCTGTTTCTCAACAGACACCATTTAGAGTGAAAAGGCAAGCCCTAGAGTGGGAGAAAATATTTTCAATACTTATAACTGACGAAGGGCTCACATCAAGAATATATAAAGAACTACAAAAAAAAAAATACTGACAACCCAATAAAAAGAAATGAGCAAGGCACTAAACACTAAAGGATATACCGTATCTAAATGTCCAATAAACATATGAGAAGGTGCTCAATCTCATTAATCCTTAGAAAGACTGATAGTACCAAATGGCTATTAATATTACTGGAAGAGTCAGAACTCACACACTGCTTGGGGGTCGTTAGGGGCACTTTGAAAGACGGTTTGTCATCATTTCCTAAAATTGGACTCATGCACATTTTATAACCCTGCAGCTTCCCTCCTAGGTACATATTCAAAAGGCATGCGCATGAATATTCATAATAGCCCATATAGGACACTTCCCAAATAGCCATCAACAGTGGAATGGATAAGTACGTCGTGGTATATTTATAGTACGGGCTATATATAGCAACAAAAATGAAAAAAACTGGTGCTTGCAATCAAGTAGCTTCATCTTACAATCTTAATGTTTTGCAAAAGAATCTAATGGAAAAGGAACACATACTTTATGATTTCAGCACTGTGATGGCAAAATTCCAGGCAGTGGTTACCTTAGGGGAGGCGGGAGGGACTGTGCCTGGATGGGGACCCAGGGGACTTCGGGGTACTAGTAACCTGCTTCGTGACCTGGGTGGTGGTGATGTGAGTGTGTTCAGTTTGTGATAAATCATTAAACTGTACACTTATGATTTGTATCCTTTTCTGTATGCATATTTTTTTAAGTTGTTAAAGTGAAAAACAAAAAAACTAGTGATGTTTAAGTTCTTCCCTTTCTGAGACAGCTGGTGTTATCGACCACTGCCTCTCTTTTTTCATAAAAACGTTTAATACCAAAAATGTCTTTCAAATATATGTAAGAGCCCATAATCTCACTACCAGATAATCCCCATTGGCATTAAAAATAGTAGTAATAGTAGTAATACATGTGCACAGTTAGAGCATTCAAATAATGCAAAAATAATGTAAAAGTAGGTATATCAAATGAAAAGTGAAAAGCTCTCTGCACCGTCTTTCTCTCAAAAGGAAGCGCTGTTCATGTTCATTGTTTTTCCACCCAGAAACTTTCTTCTGCCTGTTTTAGTATGACTCTGTTGTGGCATGGTGGCTCCTCAAACATCCCCAACACAGCCGGTTGCTAAGACAGAGCACCTTGAGGCTTCAGCCATGCTCTGTGGGGAAGGCCAAGGTCGGACTGGACTGAGAGTTTGAGAGTTTGGTTCATGGGTCTCTCGCTGCTAAGCCTTGGCTGGGATCCACTGAGGGTCCTGCTATAAGAGCTGTGGACTAGTGAGGGGTTCAGAGCCATGAGTTTCCTATGAGGTGAACTGTCGTGGATGCTTTCTATTGAAGGGCTGATGAGTCTTGTGAGAAGGTCCTGAAATGAACAAGACAGTTATTTACCCAGCAAGAATTTTCTGGAACGGCAGATTTATGCTCATGAAGACAATGGAATAGTCACGGCTGAAGGCAGTGGGTTGTGCTGCAGTGGGGAGGTATATGTTACCCTTATCTGTGTAAGCTCTGCTCTGATGTGCCCAGGCAAGGGGAAAGTGAAGGCATGGGGGCACCTTCCGTGTATGCCGCTGGGGCTGTGAACAGCCAGAGGTGAGGCGCCTTTAACCAGTTTCCGCCAAGTCTTCCTGTAGGCCATTGGCAGCTTCGTGCAATGCAGTCAGCACGCTGAGTCTAGCATCGTTCTGTTCCTTGCTTTTTTCTCCTCTACACGTTGGAGAGATCTCTCTATATGAGCACACACAGACCCACTTCAATTCTGTAAGAGTGGCTCAACAATCCTTAGACATTTATCATCAGCTATTTCACTGGTCTGGTAGTGTTGGCCTGGGGACCCCGGATGACTCTGTGTGGCACTGGTTCCACCCACTGTCTGCTGGCGGTGGGGAGGGCAGTGCTTTGTCTTTTGTTTTCCTCTGTGCCCGCCCTCAAGACTATTTTATTGGGCATTTGGAAGACAATAGGCCATCACTGAGGGTCCCTGGAGTGGGGGATTTGTAGAGGAAAAAAAACCTAAGCCCAGCTGGGTGCCCAGCTGGGTGAAGGGACTTGCCCAGTACAAACTGTCACAGTTGGTCCCATCTGGGCACCGTCCTCTACCTTTTGGTAAAGGAGGCAGCCCCCTTGCTATAGCAGCGGGGGCCTGCCCAGGATTGTGGGATCCATGCAAAGTGGCTAGAGTGGACCCCTTGAAATTTGAACAGGAACCCCCATACCTTCCCCTGGCATGGCAAGTAGGCTGCTTACTTTGACAGTTTTCTTGGCTTTCTGCCTCCCCCACCCTCAAGTGACAGCCACATGCCCCTCAGAGCCTCGTCTGCTGGCATCCCTGGGTCCCTGTGAACAGCCAGGCTCAGCTCCGGAGCCTGTGAGCAAGTAAGTGACTCAGCCTGCCTCACGCCACACGCAAAGGCTGCTGGTCCAGAGACTGTGAAGCAGTTGATAAGGAAATCGGTCCTGTGTCCCAGTGAAGCAGAAGCTGGCCTCTCTCCTGGGCCGTTGTCTCCGCTGCTTTAAAGAGGCCCTTTGCCCCGTTGCCATACTCTCCATTGTCCTTGAGAATAAAACCTTCCACCAGGTGGCCCTCAAGTTCCTATTAAGGAAAAGAGGAGGAAAAAAACAAAAAAAGACAAAATCCATAGGCTTTAAAGGGAGGGAGGAAAAGAGGGAGGGAGGGAGGGAGGGAGAGAGAGGGAGAGGGAGAGGGAGAGGGAGAGGGAGAGAGAGAGAGAGGGAGGGAGAGAGAGGGAGAGGGAGAGGGAGAGGGAGAGGGAGAGGGAGAGAGAGAGAGTCCCTGGGCAGCTGCCAGGGGTGCCCAGCAATTCATCTGGGGTGTGGGACAAAAAGCTGGCCGCTGTTCTGGGCTGGTCCCACTGGTTACTGTGCTTTGTGGAAAGATCT